GAAATTTACGTATGGACACTATTTGGGGGGGGGGGGGGGTGTGGACTCAATTACCAAATGGGCTCATATTTGCCCAAAATTATGAGCAGCACCCCTTGGCAGCATTTTTTATTTCCCCACAAGTTACCCCTCTATCAGGTAAACCGAACACCGAACAGGTGGGGTTGAAAAAATGTTGTCTGGTGTTCGATTTACCAGACAATTCTTTGAGTTTTTAAGTTTTCAATTTGCTGTCTGGTGTTCGAAATATCAGACAGGGGATTTTTACTTTTGAAGATTAGATACCCCTGTTCGGTGTTCGAAATACTGGACAGCTCTTTGGCTTCTTTTAAGCAAAAAAAGCCCCATTTTACTACTCTGAAATGAAACACCAGACAACTTTCTGGAATCAAAATGCCTCATTGCTGTCTGGTATTTGGAACACCAGACAACTTACTGGAATCAAAATGCCTTTGTTGTTGTCTGGTATTTAGAACACTGGTCAGCTTACTGAAAACATGGCTAATTTATTCCAGAAAGTTGTCCGGTGTTCCAAATACTGAACAACAACAATGTTATCTTCATTCCATAAGGTTGTCCGATCTTTGGAACACCAGACATCTTTTTGAAAACCGGGCCATTTGATTCCAGAAAGTTGACCGATATTCAAAATACCGGGCAACAACAAGACGATATCCATTCTAGAATGTTGTCTGGTTTTTGGAACACCGGACAACTTTCTGGAAAGAAAAATGCCTTGTTGTTGTTCGATATTTAAAACACCTGACAAACTTCTGAAAACAAGGCCATTTTGGTTCTAGAAAGTTGTCTAGTTTTCCAAATACCGGACATCCATAACACAATTCCTCATTCCAGAAAGCATTCCAGTATTTCAAATACAGGACGGCCACAAGGCAATTTCATTCCAAAATGTTGTCTGGTGTTTAAAATTCCGAATAACTTTCTGGACCTTTTTACATTTCAATTTGTTCTAGTTTCAAAATTTTTGAAACCCCTATTCTAACTCAAATATTATGCACTCAGAGATAATTTTTTGAAACCATTATCGTCGATTATTCACTCACAACAAAATTAATACCTAAATAACCTGTAAACAAAATTAACATCCAAATAACTTGTTTCCCCAAGTTCAATTTTTTCAAAGTATGCCACTCAATAACCTGCAAACAGTTACATCAATCCCATTCACATCAAAAGTATATATTGCAACAAAAAAAAATCCATTCAAAGCCAAGTTTACATCGAAATTGTAACCCAAAAATTTACATTGATCTTATCAAAAGTATCCCAAATTACATTGAAATTTTACAATATAAAATCAACGTCCTCTTCTGGGAGCATATCCTTTTCCCAGTGGTTGGTATAGTGGGACCCACTCTCTCATCATTCAAGAGGCCGTGCGGATCGTCCTCTTGGAGTTCTTGCATGGTGCATTTGCAGATGTGGCTCAGCAGTTGAGACATGCTTTTGTTTAGAGTTATCACTGAACTCTTATTCTTCCTCAACAAACTCGCCTTTAGACAACATCAACTTTCGCCTGATCTCCCTAAAATATCGATCTTTCGTCTGCGAGCCCATTGTCAACAATTCCAATCAAATGGTCTACTTTGGTCAACGGAAACACCACAATTACCCATAACTAGCCAACATACATACAATAATTACATATACATAAAATATAGTTGAAAAAAATGTATGAAACCTACAAATTAATGACTTTGAGACATATCAAGAATAATTAGCAAAACAAAATGAGTTTACCTGAAGTAATGTCGCACACCCAGAGAGGGGAGAATCGGGTGCCGACTAACCATCACGCAACAAATCTTGCCTTCCCTTTTTATTTTAATAGTTACGAACTTCTTGAGGGGCCTAAAAAGATAGGCAAGGGTTGCGGCCCCTCATAAGTATTGGCCCGCAATATCAAAATCCTTAATTAAGGTCAAATACCTAATAGAGACCTCATTACCTTTCGAAGGGGAAAAAATGGTGCTGCCTACTAAATATACCCCTAGTGTATAGTTCTATTTGTACTCATGTGGGATTTTCTGGTAGATTCCCAAAAGTTTCTCTCAATCAAGTGAAGTTTGATGAATAACGAAGTTTAAAATCGTTTGGCAGAAGGTCTCCCAACCATCGTAACAGCTATATCCTATATGGTTTGCATCTCCCTATTAATACCGGCTCACCTATGACTCTGATCCATAAATTATGCCATACATCATATAAGGTTGGCATCATCTCATCAACACATCACAGACAGTGCAATGACTTCGTCTCTGGGTGCCATCTCTATGTCACTGCCTCCATAAGAGGATGGTCAATTTGTCGCGGTGCCCCTCCATGTTAGCATACTGAACAAGAGGCCATAGCCCCATCCTTCAAACTTTAATCTTCTTGCTCAGCTGTAAGGGGCCAATGTCTAATGATACTAAAACCCTCATCAATATAAATCTTCTTTCTCTCCAGGCCGATTGTAGCTAATGTCCAAGCATGATCATCTTTCATGTACAAGAAGTCATCTTCATGTGCCAATAAACTTTGAAATGCATGTCATGATGTGTTGGTAACAAGCATGCTAAAATAAATGACATACACGCTTATGTGCACCAATTTCACCTTAACTCAAAATCATCACAATATATAAATAGAAACAAAAATTCAAAGTACAAATAACCAGTCATGAAACTCAATTATTCAACATATGGTTATTTTCAATATATAGTTATTTTGGCGATCAAAGAAGGGGTGCAATGATGAAGGCGGAGAAAATTATAAAGCACGATTCATAGTAAAGGGATATGGTCTAAAAGAAGGCACGTATTTCAATAAGATCTAAATAGTAAAAAAGAATAGTTCTATTCAGTTTGTTATTACTACAATTGAAATCAGGATGACAAAATACATGCAACATCTTGAAGGCTATATGGAGAAAGAAAAGGTCTGTAAAATGGTAGTCAATATATATAAACGGTATGCTAAAGAATTTAAAATGAAAAACTTATGGCATGCAACCCACAAAAAAAATGGAACTTTGTAAAGATAAAAAGAATGAGTAGTTGTGGATATCATAGCAAAAAAAGCATATTAAGAAGGTAGATATTAACCAGTAACCACTCACCACTTAAACACATATATGCACATATACGATACATAGAGATGGAGATTGCATCTTCACACACTCATAACAAACATCGGGCTTTTAAACAACAAATTGAACATAAAAATGATATGACAAAGGAACAACCACATGATGTATACATGAGTTTCTTTACTTTTCTTTTTTTCTTGTGGAAATATGATTTATTCATTATCATTTACTAGAATTTGAGCCAGATATCACTCTGACAAATCGCAGTTCAGCTCTTAGAAAACTTGTAAAAAGGGAAGTACACTTTTTTTTTTTTTTGGTGAAAAGATTAACTTATATTGAAAGAGAACAAAATGTAAATACACAAAAAGAATGAGAAAAGATGGCAATCCACAAGTTGTGGTGCACAGAGATACCACATGGAAAATGAACAAGCTCAAAAAAAGAAAAAAAAAGAAAAAAAAAGAAAAAAAAAGAAAAGAAAGCGTATACTATAATCATCATACATGGAAATCTAAATAAACAAGCTCGAAAAAAAAAAAGGAAGAGAAAAACATTCAAACTCAAGATGGATGCGAAATAAGTACATGAGAACATGTGAATCGGCTTTATAGATACATAAATATCCCATGGTAAATTAACAAAAAAAAAAGATTGGGTGTTTAGAAAAAATAAAAATGAACATTCAATACACGTTTTGGGGTTATTTTATCCCCAAAATCCTAATCACGCAAATCTCATTTTCAATCACAATCAAATAGAAATACGAACATTTATAAGAGAACCAAAAACTCTACTAATAAATTTCATGTATTTTGGGGCTATTTTATCCCCAAAACCCTAATCCCCCAAATTTAATTTTCTATAAATTTTTTTTTTTATGAGATATACCTGATTTGATTGTGGTTGAGCAGGTTGGGCTTCGGCTTGACCAAAGATTGAGTGAGAAAAGTGCCGGCTTGGGCTTGGGCTTGGGCTTGGGCTTGGGCTTAGGCTAAGCAAAGAGAGTGCGAGAGAGAAGAACCTACTGAGCAGAGCTGTCCGATAGAGCAGCAAAATGGGGTTCTTTTTGCTTAAAAGGAGCCCATGACTTATACGGTATTTTGAACACCGGCCATCGATTTTTAATATTCAAAAGTAAAAATCCCTTGCCCGATATTTCGAACATTGAACAACAAACTTAAAACTTAAAAGCACAACTAGTTGATCGGTAAATCTAACACCGAACAACGTTTTTCGTTGAAACTTATAAATCGTACATGTCAGTTGTTTGGTTGGTGCTTATTGTAATTTTAAACAAACATGAACCCATTTGATAATTGACCCCCTAAATAATGTCAGTACATAAAAAAGACCCTAGAATTAGAGAATTTAAAACATTGCCAAAAGATTCTACGCTCTCGAGGGAGCATTTTATCCTTTCATTCTCTTGTACAAAACCTAATCTAGAAGTATTTTTGAGGACCGGATGCAACCACTTCAACCCGAGAAATATATTTAATAAAAATAATTTTTAAATATCATTCTTTATGAGCTTGAACGGAAAAATGCCCCAAGATTGAATTGAATGGTGAGATTACAATATTAGAAAACTCAAAATTCAAAATTTTCTTTTAAAATAACCAATCCACTAAGTTTTAGGTAGTTTCCAAAATTATATATAAAAAACTCTTACCAAGTCAATCTTGTGCTATATGCTTCTCCTGACAAAGTGTGGTAATAGTTTCAGACCCAACCCGGGGTTTAGAGGTAGAACCGATCCGGGTCGAGATATGGGTTCAAAAATTAAACCCAACGGGTTGGGCCTGGGTCCAATTTTAGACCCGAATTCTGATCGGTCTGCATCTCGTAATATTTTTTCGAGTCCCACTATAAAAAATACATTTACGCGTAGAAGAGCGGTTCAGGTCCAACCATAATATAAATCGGGCCTTGACCGGGACGGAATCACAACCGCCTCGCAAATTGGCCTCCAAGATTACGAGAGATTCCCCAAAGAGAGAGAGAGTGACAGTGCTTGCAGGCGAGTGAGAATTGAGAAACAAAAGTCGAAAAGGAACGCTGAGGAGGTGCGTTAGAGGGAGAAAATGCAGGCAATTAGTAGGTCCCTTGCAACTGGTCGTCAAAACCCTTGCATCCACAATGCAATCCGATGTTCTTCAGCATCGGCTGCATCTGATCTGAGGAAGAAAGTGGAATCCATTCTCGACACTCTCTCTCTAAAACCAGGTATTTTGTTTATCTTCATCACTGAAGCAACATCGCATGAGATGGGCCGTTAGTGTACCTGGAAATACTTATAGAACTGATCAGAAATTGTGGATTTCGTGATGATTCTTGGCTTCTTATTTTGATCGACTCCTTTTGGTTCTGTGTGAAACTAGGGATGTGTGTTTTCTTGGCACTTTATTTTCTACAAAGGAAATCTCTCTCTCTCTCTTCAGCCCCTGTGGGAGTTTGTGGATCAGTTTAACTCTGTACCACAGTTATTCTTGAGCAATTTGGGTTTTTTTTTTCTTTCTTAATTTTTGTTCTCTCGCTCTCCCCCTCTTTCTCTCTACATGTCCTCTGTGAATGTCTGTCTGGAAAACAATCTTAAGGACTCGTAATCCGGACATTGTCAAAAAAGGAATTTTTTATACTCATCGAATGACTTCTCTCTCTGGTCAAATCTGTTCTTTTGATGGTTTTTTACAATGCTTCTTATACGTAGCAATTGAATAGGTTGAATTAATGCATATGTGCTGCTTTCTGCTTTGACATGGTCTTATCTAACTCTTATTTTATGGTTTCTTCAATCAGAAATACTTATTTTTTTTTGAAGAAATATTAACTACCAGAAATACTTCTTTCACCAATGATGGACTGAGATTTACGTTATAGTTTCTTGAAAAAGTCCATAGAATTTCAAGAAAATTATTTAGCAATCAAGGAGAACAAGTTGTAGTTTTGATCTATATCAGAGCAGGTACATGTGTACTTATGACAATAACTATCGTATAGCTGCTATATAGTTTATCAGAACCTATCATATATATCTTAAAGTTAAGATTCTTTAATGAGGAGAGCTAGCCCGTGGATCCTAGAGCGTAGAATGTGGGGGACCTAGTAGAGGGTAGTTGATTTCACATCATAGAGAAACAAGACCGGACAATGGAACATTTGGGATTTGAGATAATAGATCAGGAAGGGTAACCGATGTTGTGATGGTTCAAGAGATAAAAATTTGGATTCCATTCTAGCCATTAACAGGGCATCAAAATATTCATTTGAACTTCTCTTTTTGTCATGGTAGGGAAGCTGGGTTGACTCCCCAACCTCAAGGTCGCGACGAAAAGCTTCTTTGAGTTGAGTTATGGGCTTGAACCCACAAAAAAGGGTGTCAAGTTTTTGTTTTTATGGGGACATGTTTAATATTGAAACCTTGATCTCCTTCATGCAAATTGGACATCTTATCATTGCACCGGAGGCTGATGTTATTCGATATGGCATTTTATGTACTATTTGATCCTGATGTGGAGGAAAGCATAAAATTATACATATGATTTATGAACTTCCTTTCTATTAGTTAAATTAAAGGAGTAGAAGGAGCTTTATCCAAAAAAAAAAGAAAAGAAAAACAAACAAGCAAAGGAGTTGGGGGAACATTGAGTGTCTACAATTGGTGCATATGGAATTTTAGGCAAAAGAAAGGATTGTTTTTGGAAAGTAATTGGTTTAACGTGGTGACTTTAATGGTTTTAGGTTCTCTTTAGAGAAGAATAGGGGTATCTTATGGTTTGCTACTCATATGATGGCTTCAACCATGCAGAACTTTAAAAACTTCATTGATAGTGATGGATTAAGTAACGTTTGATTTGGAGTGTCTTTCTTTTACATGGTCCAATAATTAGGAGTTGGTGAGAATGGGGAGTTTTAGGTTTCTTGTCTTTAGCTGGTAAAATTCCCAAGCCTATGTCAAATTATGGACCCCTTTTATTGGATATGGCAATGGGACATGGAACAAGGGTCCGTTACTTGGTGTGACGGTAAAAGGCTCGAGTAGCCAGCGCAAGAGCACAGGTTTGAGTCCTAAGAGTGGCCACTTTGTGCATTAGCCAAATGTTAGGACCGTTTCCAGCCCACCCCTCTCGGGACGCTGCTTAGGAGGGACCAGCACTGGGTTACAACCCTTTTTACGGCAATGGGACATGGAACCATGTCGGAGATTTCAACTAGACAACAAAAAACATTGGGCTCACAAAGTATCCCCATAATTTAAAAAGAAACAAACATTATACATTTGCAAGCCTCTTAATAATCTCTCACCCTAGAAGACTATCCAAATGCAAAAGAAGATAAATATCTGTGTGACTCTTGTCCTTAATTGTCTTCTTCTTCATTTGTGCAGCTTTTAGGTGGTTCTTAGTTTTGAATCAAAATCCTAGCATTCTCTCCCTTTGGAAAATCTACTGGTGACAGTTTCTTAGAAGTCCTAGTTTGCTCTTACCACCCACCATGTTAACAGGGGATCCTACTTATTGTAGTACTATAAAATAGAATTTACATTGGGAGTTTTTCTCCCTCATTCTCTCTAGCTCTTTTAGAGGTACCAAATTTCTTCAAAAGGAACAAAAGAGGAAACTAATTAGCCATTCCCATTTCCCGGTCATATGATTGATTGCACAAGATTTAAGGGGCCACACAAGCTGAAAAGTACTGGATACTGCACTAGGTATATGTGAGGAGGGTGGGCCTGAAAGTGCTCGGAGAACTCACTGAACTGCCTCGTGATAGAGACCTAGAGGCAATAGATGCTGAGGGCCCTGCAGTCGAGGATGGTGCCTGGAACTATCTTATGGTATAGCTGGTCAAGATTCTTCCCATTTGTTTTAATGGTAGCAATTTAAGATGATTTCATGTTTCAAAAGCAAAAGAGATTAAGAGAGATGCGAAATGGACTTAATTGATGCCATGGAAAGAATTGATCTATAATAGTAAATATGAGAAAGTCAAGGTACACAGAGGAACAAACAATACATTGGACATCTTAAACAAATGAACTGAGTCTACTCTGCTATTACTGAGTTTACAAGCATTAGTAGTGTAGAGGGACCAAAGTTCTTCAAAAGGAACAAAAAAGGAAAGTAATTAGCCATTGCCAGTTCCCAGTCATATGATTGGTGGAACAGGATTTAAGGGACCACACAAGCTGAAAAGTACTGGCTAATGCACTAGATATATGCAACAAGAGTTGGTCTGAAAGTGCTTGGAGAACTCACTGAAGTGAGGCAAGGCGATAGATATTGAGGACCCTGCAAACGAGAATGGTGTACCTAGAATTATCTGATGGTATAACTGCTCAAGATTCTTTCTGTTCGGTTTAATGATAGGAACTTAAGATGGTTTCATGTTTCAAAAGCAATAGAGACTAAGAGAGATGCAAAACAAACTTAATTGATGCCCTGGAAAGAATTGATCAATAATTGTAAATATATGAGAAAGTCTGCGTCGGTTGACGAAACCTAAATATTTGAGGAACAAATATTAAAAAAAAGAAGTTCCAGAGCTTAATATCAATGGACTAGAGAGCAAAGACTGAATAAAGACCTTAAAAAGAGCTTTAGGTTTCAGGTGATCCACAAGGTTTATATGAACTGCAACAGTGCCTCTACAGTACAGCTTCAATGTTGCTGGTGCAGAATTGAACTTTCTAATGCTGATCATAGATCTAGGGTTTCAAATCAAGAAGTAAGATTTTTTATCTGACGGCAAATACTGATTCTCCATAGAGTATTGAATTACTGATGGACACATAGTTATTTATTCTAGACATATGTGAGTTTTGGATTCATATATCTTGGATACCATGTTAGAATCAGATAAACTTGTGCAAAATTCTCATTTATGAAAAAGAGGGATTAATCCAATACACAAACCCACCTCCCTTAAAAAAAAAAAACTTCAAAAAAAAAATATTCCTATACACAGACACACACAAATGACTGAGGCCATGACAACACAACACATGAACTACCAGACTAAGTATGTAAATGAAATACATGAAATACACATGATTACATAAAAATGTATCTTACATAAAAATGTATCTTAACAAACTTAACATAAACTATTCCTAAAAAAAAATAACACATTTAACATAAACTAGGTCAAGGTTGGGTGTCCTTGAACTCTTTTAGTTGGGTGAAATTAAATCACTTATATTACATAGGCTTGTAGTGCCAGGTATTATCAAGGTTTAAAAAATGGATCGGTGACCCGGATTGTTCAGCAAAACCCGTGTCAGATCGGTGGATCGATGTGTCGGATTGGAGAATCGGCTGAATCGGCAAGTTTTTGCCCCAATTTTTTTTTCAAATAATCACTATAAACCTTTAAAAATGGTGTTCTTTTAGTTTCTAAAAGAAATTAGGAGTGGTGCATTATGTACTTTCAGTACTTTGTAAAAGTAAGTGAATACTGAGATGTTGTTTTCCTGTCTAGATATCTATTAACCATTCATGCATATGACTAAAAAAAAGAGCTTATAATAATCAAGGATATAAATACAAAGTCCAAAATGGGGCATATAACAGCAAAAAAACAACCTACTACCAAAACGAAAGGCAGTTTTGTTCTTGCATGTCATCGCGCTGATGCATCTCATTGAATTCTCTCGACAATTCATTGAGTCGATTCATGTACGCCTCAGAATCGTCGGTGCCAACCTAACTATACCAATATCCCTCATGGTTGGAGAACTGTAGCTCTCCTTGCTGGAAGTCCCCAGGGCTTTTCCAGCGTTCCTAATAGCACCCACTCTCTTGCTCACCCTCATATTCTTGCCTGTCCCCATCCTCTTGCTGCTTGATCTCGAGTTACGTATATCTTGGGTGGGATAAGGTTGCCTCAGAATCATAATTTCTCTTGTTTTCTCCCCTAGTCCATTCCTCTCCTTAAACACGTGCAACACCGCTTACATCCCCAACAAATTGCCCAAATGTTAGTCGGGAACCTGCTTCTACTCTCCCTCCTCTCTGCTCATGAACATCTTGTTTTTCACACTATTCACCGATTGCCTCGAGGAACGCTCTTTTGCCCAACACTCGAGGTTCTTCCTCCACCAACCACTGTTCGGCTATATATGCAATAAAATATCGCATCCAAGTCAATCGGGATGTAATTCTCAATCTTCCTTTCCAAATGTCATTGTCGGAGCTTTGAATTGTAATGAGTAAAGACAAGCTTAT